TCTCTCTCTCTCTCTCGCTCTCTCGCGCTCTCTCTCTCTCTCTCGCTCTCTCTCTCTCTCTCGCTCTCTCTCTCTCACACACACACACACGCGCACGTGCGCGCGCGCGCATACACACACACACACACACGATGCGCAAAACTCTGTATTTGAACAGTCAATAGCAAAATAACAAAACATACTTACAGTAGCTGATTCAGAAGCGCCAGATTGTCATAGCAAAGTCAGAATGACCTCCTCTCCTAGGTTGACGAAACGGTCGTCCATAAAATGCATTGCTGTTCTGTTGTAAGTAATCTTAAAGATTCCTAAATGCATCTACTTTCGGAAGGCCAAATAAAGTGATTTTGCTTTCGCCTAGAAACACACAGCGTCTCCCTGACATGCTGCTTCAACACTAACTGCGGTTACTGAAACCACGCCTTCTTTCTTTGGGTGAACATTTGGGCGGCATTATGCTAATATTTCCACATAGTGAGGTAGATATTTAGGGAGTAGAGTCTTAACTTTGATAAAGAATATCTCTTTGGTTTTGAGACTTTAGTCTTTGCAGCTTCAGGGATCTTATCTATGCACAATCAGCTTGTAACACTCCAAAGAGAAAGGAAAACTTGAAATCGCATCATATGACCCCTTTAAAGAAGCATCTCTTTCTTACGTTTTTATATACCGTATATAACCTTCTTTCGCTACAAAGAAGCTTTTGTGAAACAGAAAGGTTCTTCAGATGTTAAGGTTCTCTATGCAACCATTTAGACAAAAAGGTTCTTCTTTGACATCGTGAAGCACCTTTATTTTTAAGTGTAGTTGCATTTACTGTAATTATGGGATGGATAGTTACCTAGAAATGAATGGTTAAATTTGCCATCAGCCCCACTACATTTTTTTAAATTAGAAACTCAAATTTTCATATGAGGATCCCTGCCCTCATGGGAAACAAATTTGCCTCAATGACTTATACACTTCACAATGACACTTTTTCAGTATAAATGTTATTTTTCAAGTGAATTTTTCCTCTCATGAACCCAATGCTGAGACTTTACTTTGGTTGAAGGTCTTTGACAGCCAGCACAAACTTTCTGTAAAAGTTTGCACTGGCCAGTTGCTTCAAACCACTGAAAACAACTCCAAACAAACTTTGCTGTAGGCAGATTTTGCTATGTCACACCTGTTCATACTTTTACTTGAAGTATGTTGAGGCCCAAGACTGTCATTATTTTCAACTCCATAGATGTCATGATACAAGTGAGTTATTGTTTTACAAATTGCTTTTCTTTCTAGAAAGTGACTCCGCTTGCATCTTATTCACAATAAAAGCAGCAGGCTAAAGAAGGCTGAAGAACACTCACCTCAGCAGTTTCAGAGAGAGAGATTTGTATTTTCTGACTCTCATGGAAGCAGTATGGTATTTGTCATTGCAGTGGTACAAGTTTTGTGGTTTTGTAGACACGTTTGAAAGCTAGCAGTTTCTCTAGGAGAAACGGGTAAGCCTATGAACTGACAGTTAGTTGTGCTAGTGTTAGTTGAGCTAAAATATTATAGATGAATATTAACCACAAATGCACAAGCCCAGCACTAGTTCTATTGTGAGATGGCATAATGAGACAAATTGTGAAAGCCTGCATTTATTTTCAAGTCAGTACGTGCATTTAATATACGGAGAGCATCTGTCTGTTCATCAGATTTTTTGAATTAACTTTTCACAAGAATAGGTGGTAAACATACTCTTTAGTTCCTGTTCATTATTATGATTATGATTATGTAAAAGCTCCAGTTTTCATCCCTCTGTCTGTCTCAGTGCAGCAAATAAGGACTTTGTTTATTGAATCTAAAGAGCCATTCGAGTTACATCATGAAATCCCAGAGAGCTGTTAAAGCAAAACCTGCCACATTCATCTGGTGTGTTTGAGCAATGCCACCATTCAGCACACTGAAGGCCATCACCCGCATACACTCACTCCTCTTCCTGCATTCACTGATGTATGCTTCTCTTGGAAGAAACATTTACTCTACATTTTACCAAAGATCTGGCATTTTCCCTTATGTTTTCTAATTTGGTTTAATGAATAATTTAATAATTTTTAATACACTGAAGCTGCATGATTTGGGGAATCATTTATGTCCATTTCACAGTTGCATGCTTAAGTATAGTACTTTGAGGTTTTGGGATTGTTTAAATCACAGCTACGAGCAATAGTAATGATGTTTCCCCATAACAAACACTACTAATGAGTATTTTAGAATGAATAAATGAATGAATGAATGAAAACAACTTGGGGTGAGATTAAATAAATTTGTCTCCCAGAGGAACAACGCTGGTGTAATATTGCAGTAAAATAACCCATCAGCACTATTGTTTGTCTCGTTCACTCACTGCTTACAGCCGAAGCCTCTCATTGCTCACAGTTGGGTGATATTCATAGATAGAAGCTGCATGCCGTCATCTGTAATCTGCCTCCAGTGTGTGCCCTTTTGCCCCCATCCTGTCTGTGCACACAAAGAGAAGCAGAACTATAAACCTCGTCCCTCTGCTGCTCATTCATCCCCCTATCTATTTTCATTCCCTCTGCCATTCTCTCAGTTTCTCAGCTCACTCCATGTCCAGTGCAGCTTCATGCTTTATTTAGGCTCTCTTGGTGACACTCAGCTGCTAGCTACTGATAAAATAAAAATCACTTCAAGATAAAGATTTTCACAAAAATGAGTACACACTAATTTTCACACAATGTATGAATGTGTCCATTTCTGTAACAGTCATTCAGATTGTCCGTTTTTAGGCTCTAAAATTTGATTGGCTGCTGGTGCCTATATGTTTTTTTTGTAGCCCTATTAGAGGGTATGTCAGGACGCCCGCTAACGCAGATGCATACCAATTTTAAACTTAATGCATCATCTAATTGTTGTTGAATTATATTAGCACCCCCAATGGGAGGAATTTGACAGAAGCTTGTGTGTATCCCCAAATTGTCTTCTTGTTTGTATATATCAAATAACTGTCGGGTTCTTAATAGCAGGAAAAAGATTGATTTTTTTAATAGACTGTCTGCCTCAAGCTTTAATCAAGAAGAATGTAATTGCTGAAGATTTGATTATATGCTTGTATGGTGGAATCAATATTTAAAAGTAATGAACAGAAATCAGTGTTGAATCAGTATCAGAGATCAACAATTATTCAGTGTTGTATTGATGATCAAACTGGGACAATTGTGCATTGAAAACTGTGCACAAAATGAGGCCATAATGATGTTGTCAATCAAGCCCATACATACAGTAAACCCACGATAAACCATATATACCATACAGCAAATTTCAGCTACTTGATTATTAATGTCGTTGCAGAATGTACACTATGTTATCGCCCAATTATATATTTAAAGTTGGATATATAGTACATCCAATTTAATCAATATAAACTTTATATCAGATTTCAGTGGCTTGATTGTTCATATCGTTGCAAAATGCAATCTATATTATTGCCTAGCAGAAGATCTGCTAAATGTGTCTAGACATGTATGTCATTAAGATATGACGATATAAGTAAAGGATAATGTACATCCAGCCGGTTGTTATCTCAAAATATATAAGACTGAAGGGCTTTATTTTGCAATAACAACCAGCAGGATGTACTTTATCCCGCTTATTACATGGCTACTTGCCACAAAACTAAACAATTAGACATGAAATATTGATTTGAGTTGAAATATTTGAACACAAACCTTCCGTGAAAGCAGTTGCTAAGAAGTTCAAAGACGGACATTAAGAGATACGGTACAGTCATACTACTTATTACACGACATTTCTACACATGAATAATTATGGCGATAAAAGATATTGATTTAAAATGAACCCGTTTCAAATTCTTACCAGTTTGTTAGTTATTGTACAGTGCAGTGTACAAAACAATCGTCACAAAATGGCAGCAGCTGCATTATGAAACGAGAGAGAGCGAGTCCGCGATACCAGGATGACATAATTAAATATTGATTTGAGTTGTAATATTTTATTAGCCAACCAAACACAAAGCTTTCACGAAGAAAAAATGTTCCCAGCAAGCGAATAGCGCCGGTTGCAGTTACCCGGATGAGCCTGTGTTATTAGTTTTTACCGCTTTTTATTGGGGAATAATTTCATACTCGAAATGTGGTGACCGACCAATCAGAATAGAGTATTCCACAGATCCATCCAATAATAAACATTAACATCAGGGTTCTCTGCAAAGCTGCTTTAAAACAATGTGTATTGTGAAAAGCGCTATGCAAAGAAACTGTACTCTTTACTTGACTCTGTGTGTCTTAAAATTGTTTGTCTTTACACTTTTTTTTGTCTTATTAACTCTGTTCTTGTGTGTTCTGCAGCTGTAAAACCAAGACGTACCCCGATGAGCTTCCAAACACCAGCATTGTGATCGTGTTTCATAATGAAGCCTGGAGTACACTTTTGAGAACCATACACAGCGCCATAAACCGCTCGCCCAGACACCTGCTGCTCGAGATACTGCTGGTGGATGATGCCAGTGAGAGAGGTCACATCAGCTCATTAACTGATCATTTTAATTACGTTTGCATGTCGAGTTATTCCTTCAGTATCACTATACCGATCAATGGCAGAATATCCTCAGTGTCATCGTTTATGTGAAAGTTTATTTAGTCCATAAATGTCATTCAGCTTCTTAGAGACCTGAGTGAGGAAACATTAAGATGTGTGCAATATGAAGCTGTCCACCATAATTGCATCTCTGTAGATTACCTCTGATTTTATGGATTGATTGATTGCAGATTTTCTTAAGAAAAAATTAGAGCACCATGTTGCGACTCTGGAGGTTCCGGTGCGAATTTTAAGGATGGTGCAGCGATCCGGTTTGATTCGAGCACGACTAAGAGGGGCGGCTGCCACGCGAGGACAGGTCATCACCTTCCTGGACGCCCACTGTGAGTGCACTGTAGGGTGGCTGGAGCCACTGCTGGCCCGGATCAAAGAGGACAGGTGAGTGTGCTTGACTGTGTACAGACAATTTATTCCTGAGCCCCAAACTTTACATTTTAAAGGTACCGTGTGCAAGTTTTTGACTCTACTAAAGCATAAAAATACCATAATATGTTTGCAGATATGTAAGAAACATGCTAAGTTAAACATTCTTGTTTATCTGAAAAACAATGCTACAGTCAGTTATTCTCCTTAGAAAATGTGTGTTCCAGGACGGGATGTCGGTCTTTGTTTTAGTTTGTGAAACCCGCCTACTGCCAGTTTACCTAATTGTATTTCGGCACCCCGGGTTGCCAGTTGACGGAAAACACATCGCATTTCATTTCATTCATCGTCATCTGTGCTCGTTCCTGTTGGTGTCGTCAATCTGGCAACCTGCGTGTGCGTCAAGTCTGAGGAGGAGGGGCCGGGTGGAAAAAAACCCTTTCCAGTATTTTGAATTTGGACTGCAATACCTAGTCCAACCACTAGTTGTCAATCCTACATACAGCACCTTTAAAGACTTGAGACTTGAGAAGTTATTTTTGCTTTTCCTTTTCTCGTGCTTTTTGCCATAAGATAAACTAAATATAGTATTCGGCAAAAGATGTTTACAATAAACTTCTAGTCAAACAGCAGAGAATGTACTGCGGAGCAGTGGTTCTCAGCCTCTTTGAATCCATGGCACTCTGTTGTTAAAGACAATATTCCCAGACCCTGATGAAAGTTATATTTCTGCTATTATGATTTTATTTACACTAGGAGTGGCCATATATTAAAATAATTCTAAGTAAGTAAGTCCCATGATTTCAGACCTTTTATTACCTTTTTTTTTATTTACTTGATTTTTCCAGCCATTTAGGATTACAGGATTTTTTTTATTTAATTTGAATTCAATTACAGGTTTACCCAAACTGTGAAACCCATGGTGCTTCAATAAATATGGCAGTTGTTGAGGGAAGGAATTACAATAAAAATATAATGTCAGATTGCATCTTGTTTTGTCTTATTTTTAATCATTTTAAGTCATCTTGTGGCCCTAGTGGGTCCCGGACTCCTGGTTTAGAAACAGATGCATCACTACTAAGATATTTACAAATGCAGTGGTGATGTTGCCTGTGGTTTAATGCAGCAAAAATAGCTAAAGTGTCTGGGTAAATGTTTGGATGTTTAGGTGAAAGTCCACCAAAACATTCCAACACAATTAAATGTGTAATTGATATGCAAGTAGTAAGTAAGTAATTGCCTTTAGCACAAACTTGTTCTACTGCTTGCTTGGAATGCTTACCTTTCCAGCTGCTTTACTTCATGGTCTCTCAAAGTATAATCCTGTTACCCGTCAGTAAGTGTGACGTGTCCTCCATTTGTAAAGTGATCTTTATTACGTTCACACAGATTCAGAATTACATTACTAAGGATATCTTGTTACTCTTACAAGCACATTCACATTCGCTCAGCCTCATGCTCAGGTGCTCTGATACAGGAAGCCTATCTGTGAGAGCATGCGCTTTGTGCATACTTTAAAGATATGTATTTCCCCGTCTGGCCGAATCACAGAGCAGTAAGGGATAAGTTGTTGAGGATAACCGTGTATTGAGTTTGCATTGATCAGAATCGGTCTACTGTTGCTGAAGCTGGAGGTGTTTATCCAATTAACATTCTGGAAGCATGAGCTACAATGTGGACTGTTTCTATTTGGAAATGTGTCTGGGTCTTTTCTGCTACACAAAGGATAATGTCTAGTCAGCTGGGCATTATTGCAAAATAAACCCATGCAGGCTTACCTGATGCAAAGTCGTTTTGGACCGTTTAACTAGCTAAAGCTTCCAGTTTAAACCTAAAATTCATCTGAATTCAGGATTCAGGTGGTTGCATACTTTAAAGATATGTATTTCCCCGTCTGGCCGAATCACAGAGCAGTAAGGGATAAGTTGTTGAGGATAACCGTGTATTGAGTTTGCATTGATCAGAATCGGTCTACTGTTTATCCAATTAACATTCTGGAAGCATGAGCTACAATGTGGACTGTTTCTATTTGGAAATGTGTCTGGGTCTTTTCTGCTACACAAAGGATAATGTCTAGTCAGCTGGGCATTATTGCAAAATAAACCCATGCAGGCTTACCTGATGCAAAGTCGTTTTGGACCGTTTAACTAGCTAAAGCTTCCAGTTTAAACCTAAAATTCATCTGAATTCAGGATCTTAGGGTGGTATGACCATTTGAGCCATTTGGTCACACTTTATTTTAAGGTTTAATTCTCAATATTAACAAACCATTAACTACAAACTTTGCCTCAATAAACTACTAATTTGCTGCTTATTAATAGTAAGTAAGGTAGTTGTTAAGTTTAGGTGATTATGGATGTAGAATATGGTCATGCATAATATGTGCTTTATAAGTACTAATAAACAGCCAATATGTTATTAGGCATGCTGATAAGCAACTAGTTAATAGTGACAATTGGTCTAAAGTGTTACCAGCCATTATATAGGCGTGCGGATCCATATGTAAAGCTTTTATTCTAGAACAGTCAAAACAAGCAAGGGTCAGACAATGGCAAACAGGTATATTGAGGGCAAGACACAAGAGTAGTCCAGCGAGCGGGCGTGGTCGATCTCCGGCGAACAGTCCAAACAGGGTAATCCAAAGGGTTAATCCGAAACACAGGCTATGGTCCAGGTGAGGAGCAAACAGTATTTAAACAGGGCGAGACGAGAAGGATAATCAAGCGAAAATCAGGAAACAGGCAATCAGGAAACTAGACGTGACTAGATTTGGACAACTAGAAACTCCAACTAGGACCAGGAACTGGCTCTGTAAAGTAGCTATCGACTAGCGTAGCGATATGCGCTTACAATACTCTGCAGTGAATGGTTGTTTGAGACGGATTCTTATAGTGGGTGTAATGGGTAGCAGCTGTGTGTGATAAGTTTCAGGTGAGCTTGTGATTAGTGCAATGGAGCATGGGAAATGTAGTCCAGGGTGATGTGTAACAGTCTGTGTGGTGTGAGATTCAATATCATGGGAGGGCGACCGGGCGACCTCAGTGGATGGAAGTTCGTGGACAGGATTCGTGACAATAGGTATATGTTTGTTAATGAAAAGGTATGAACATATGAACATGTAAAAACGTATTAATCTTAAAGTAAAGTAAACTAAAAAACAGTTATTTTATTTGGCAGAGAGGGAAGTTTTTAACTATTATTTTTTTCCCTCTCCATAGCTTTCTCGTGCTATTTTTGTATTATCATTTGTATGAGCCTATAATTTGATATGTTAAAAAATAGATGCAATTCTTGTCAAAATACCCTAATTTCCTCTGCAACACTGGACTGAAGGTGAAAGGATTATTTCTGTTCGTCATTCTAGGAGGGCTGTGGTCTGTCCAATCATTGATGTCATCAGTGATGAGACATTCGAGTACATGGCCGGCTCAGATATGACCTATGGGGGATTCAACTGGAAGCTCAACTTCAGATGGTATCCAGTTCCTCAGAGAGAGATGGACCGACGCAAGGGCGACAGAACCCTTCCTGTTAGGTAATAAACGTTCAAGTGTTTTATTTTCAGTTTTGACGTGAATGATGTAAGTACATTATTCTGTTAATTACTCACAAATGGCTGTGAGACTGAGCCATGAAATCATCTGTGCTATATTGTTTCTTTCAAACGCACCATTCGTTACAATGGTAAAGACACAGAGCCTTCGTTCCAAATAAATCAAAACCTTCACATAACGTTTGTTTTTTCTTGGTTAATTGAGCAGACAGCATGTTATTTAGGTGCCACAATGGTTTAGTTGTTGTCACTGCCAGGTACATTATCATTAAGTAAGATGTGAATCTAACATCTGATTTCGTCAACGCTTTAAACCAGTTCTTTTATTATCCTGAGGATTTTTATAAAGGAATGTTCTAAATTGAACTAATTTTACTTCCAAACATGATGTGCAAAAATCAAGAGTTGTCAGTGTAATAAACAAAAGGCTTGTAATTTGGACGTCTAAACATACTGTGATATGATTACGATTTTTATTTTATTTTTTTATTTAGAGACCTGCAATCAACCTGTATGTTGTTTTTACAGAATTATACTTTGGTCACAACTCACAAATGTAACCAAAATAACAACAACAAAACCTGTAGTCACGCATGAGATCAGCAGTCGTTTGATGACAGCTCATCATTGGCTTGTTCAGTGGGACAAGCAATGACCGTTGTGAAGAAAGTCTGTCATTTTTCTAGACTCTCTAAAATGTGTACATCTAGTATCCACATTAGGACATAAACAACAAAATGAGGTATGCAATAAAAAAAAAATACAGAAAATGCATACATTTATACAGAAATATTATACATATTATACAGAAATATAATAACATTGCATCTATACATCATATTGGTAGTCATTTGATTGATATTTATTGATCCTTATCAATGTATCATTACACCCCTATAAAGAAGGTTATTGATCAGAGGATTCTCTTACACAGACTACAGTGGTTCACATCACTTAACCTAGCTATTGATGGTGGGTATATATATATATATATATATATATATATATATATAGACTACAGTATATACACCTATTATGATTTTATTTACACTAGGAGTGGCCATATATTAAAATAATTCTAAGTAAGTAAGTCCCATGATTTCAGACCTTTTATTACCTTTTTTTTTATTTACTTGATTTTTCCAGCCATTTAGGATTACAGGATTTTTTTTATTTAATTTGAATTCAATTACAGGTTTACCCAAACTGTGAAACCCATGGTGCTTCAATAAATATGGCAGTTGTTGAGGGAAGGAATTACAATAAAAATATAATGTCAGATTGCATCTTGTTTTGTCTTATTTTTAATCATTTTAAGTCATCTTGTGGCCCTAGTGGGTCCCGGACTCCTGGTTTAGAAACAGATGCATCACTACTAAGATATTTACAAATGCAGTGGTGATGTTGCCTGTGGTTTAATGCAGCAAAAATAGCTAAAGTGTCTGGGTAAATGTTTGGATGTTTAGGTGAAAGTCCACCAAAACATTCCAACACAATTAAATGTGTAATTGATATGCAAGTAGTAAGTAAGTAATTGCCTTTAGCACAAACTTGTTCTACTGCTTGCTTGGAATGCTTACCTTTCCAGCTGCTTTACTTCATGGTCTCTCAAAGTATAATCCTGTTACCCGTCAGTAAGTGTGACGTGTCCTCCATTTGTAAAGTGATCTTTATTACGTTCACACAGATTCAGAATTACATTACTAAGGATATCTTGTTACTCTTACAAGCACATTCACATTCGCTCAGCCTCATGCTCAGGTGCTCTGATACAGGAAGCCTATCTGTGAGAGCATGCGCTTTGTGCTGCATACTTTAAAGATATGTATTTCCCCGTCTGGCCGAATCACAGAGCAGTAAGGGATAAGTTGTTGAGGATAACCGTGTATTGAGTTTGCATTGATCAGAATCGGTCTACTGTTTATCCAATTAACATTCTGGAAGCATGAGCTACAATGTGGACTGTTTCTATTTGGAAATGTGTCTGGGTCTTTTCTGCTACACAAAGGATAATGTCTAGTCAGCTGGGCATTATTGCAAAATAAACCCATGCAGGCTTACCTGATGCAAAGTCGTTTTGGACCGTTTAACTAGCTAAAGCTTCCAGTTTAAACCTAAAATTCATCTGAATTCAGGATCTTAGGGTGGTATGACCATTTGAGCCATTTGGTCACACTTTATTTTAAGGTTTAATTCTCAATATTAACAAACCATTAACTACAAACTTTGCCTCAATAAACTACTAATTTGCTGCTTATTAATAGTAAGTAAGGTAGTTGTTAAGTTTAGGTGATTATGGATGTAGAATATGGTCATGCATAATATGTGCTTTATAAGTACTAATAAACAGCCAATATGTTATTAGGCATGCTGATAAGCAACTAGTTAATAGTGACAATTGGTCTAAAGTGTTACCAGCCATTATATAGGCGTGCGGATCCATATGTAAAGCTTTTATTCTAGAACAGTCAAAACAAGCAAGGGTCAGACAATGGCAAACAGGTATATTGAGGGCAAGACACAAGAGTAGTCCAGCGAGCGGGCGTGGTCGATCTCCGGCGAACAGTCCAAACAGGGTAATCCAAAGGGTTAATCCGAAACACAGGCTATGGTCCAGGTGAGGAGCAAACAGTATTTAAACAGGGCGAGACGAGAAGGATAATCAAGCGAAAATCAGGAAACAGGCAATCAGGAAACTAGACGTGACTAGATTTGGACAACTAGAAACTCCAACTAGGACCGGGAACTGGCTCTGTAAAGTAGCTATCGACTAGCGTAGCGATATGCGCTTACAATACTCTGCAGTGAATGGTTGTTTGGGATAATCAAGCGAAAATCAGGAAACTAGACGTGACTAGATTTGGACAACTAGAAACTCCAACTAGGACCGGGAACTGGCTCTGTAAAGTAGCTATCGACTAGCGTAGCGATATGCGCTTACAATACTCTGCAGTGAATGGTTGTTTGAGACGGATTCTTATAGTGGGTGTAATGGGTAGCAGCTGTGTGTGATAAGTTTCAGGTGAGCTTGTGATTAGTGCAATGGAGCATGGGAAATGTAGTCCAGGGTGATGTGTAACAGTCTGTGTGGTGTGAGATTCAATATCATGGGAGGGCGACCTCTGGTGGCAAGTGGATGGAAGTTCGTGGACAGGATTCGTGACAATAGGTATATGTTTGTTAATGAAAAGGTATGAACATGGAAATGTTTAAAAACGTATTAATCTTAAAGTAAAGTAAACTAAAAAACTGTTATTTTATTTGGCAGAGAGGGAAGTTTTTAACTATTATTTTTTTCCCTCTCCATAGCTTTCTCGTGCTATTTTTGTATTATCATTTGTATGAGCCTATAATTTGATATGTTAAAAAATAGATGCAATTCTTGTCAAAATACCCTAATTTCCTCTGCAACACTGGACTGAAGGTGAAAGGATTATTTCTGTTCGTCATTCTAGGAGGGCTGTGGTCTGTCCAATCATTGATGTCATCAGTGATGAGACATTCGAGTACATGGCCGGCTCAGATATGACCTATGGGGGATTCAACTGGAAGCTCAACTTCAGATGGTATCCAGTTCCTCAGAGAGAGATGGACCGACGCAAGGGCGACAGAACCCTTCCTGTTAGGTAATAAACGTTCAAGTGTTTTATTTTCAGTTTTGACGTGAATGATGTAAGTACATTATTCTGTTAATTACTCACAAATGGCTGTGAGACTGAGCCATGAAATCATCTGTGCTATATTGTTTCTTTCAAACGCACCATTCGTTACAATGGTAAAGACACAGAGCCTTCGTTCCAAATAAATCAAAACCTTCACATAACGTTTGTTTTTTCTTGGTTAATTGAGCAGACAGCATGTTATTTAGGTGCCACAATGGTTTAGTTGTTGTCACTGCCAGGTACATTATCATTAAGTAAGATGTGAATCTAACATCTGAT